TTCTGTCTCAAGCTCATAATTAAAGGAACAGCATGACATCAGGCAGTTCTTTATTTATTTATTTTTTTTGAGTTAGAGTCTCACTCTGTCGCCCAGACTGGAGTGCAGTGGCCGCTCCCGGCCACCGCAGCCTCGACCTGCTGGGCTCTGGCGATCCTTCCACCTCAGCCTTCCAAGTAGCCAGAATTACAGGCATGCATTACCACGCCCAGCTGATTTTTGATTTATTGTAGAGATGAGGTCTCACTGCCCAGGCGGGTCTCGAACCCGCGGGCTCAGGCAATCCACTCACCTCAGCCTCCCAAAGGCGCGGGATTACAGGCTGAGTCACCGAGCCCGGCTAGGCAGTTCTTAATAGGCTTGTCGACATCTACGCTAAGCACATGGGAAAGCCACTGAACCCCTAGTAGAACTTGGTGTTCGGGAGGTTTTGCATATTTGCATTCATCAAGCAGCTTGAGCTGAACTGCAGACTAAAAGGGAAAACAAACAGCCCAGAGCAGGTATAAATAATAATAATGTCCAAAAGAATGATGTCAGTGCAATGAAGCAGCACTCAGAATAAAGCAGGAGAAACTGTGCTCAAAGGATCTTTCTGGCTTCCCTGACCCACCTAGCCACAAGATGCATCATCTACACTTTGAATAAATCTGCCAAGGTGGCCCTTACCTTAAACATGTTGGGGTTTGGGGGGATTCTTTTTCTCTGGTGCTGTGACTCAGATGGGTTTTTGTTTGTTTTAAGATGTGTTGTTCTTAGGGTGTTTCGGATTTGAACCTAAAGACACTAAAAGTCTGCTGATCTCAGCCGGGCTCAGTGGCTCAGCCTGTAAACCCACGCCTTTGGGAGGTGAGTGGATTGCCTGAGCCTGCAGGTTCGAGACCCGCCTGGGCAACTTGGCGAGACCTCATCTCTACAACTAAAAAAAAAAAAAAAATTAACCTGGCATGGTAGCGCGTGCCTGTAGTTCCAGCTACTTGGAAGGCTGAGGCGGAAGGATCGCTGGAGCCCAGCAGGTCAAGGCTGCGGTGGCTGGGAGCGGCCACTGCATTCCAGAAAAAAAGTCTGTTGATCGCAAGGCTAGTTTGAAGTATAAAAGCTCTGTCTTAAAATCACATTCCATGATGTTCTTCGTAAGTTTTCCCAAAATGCTTGTTCCTGTCCTTTGCAGTTTCCTAAGTCATTATAATGCTAAAAGTTCTTTATCTAAGACAGTGGTTCTCAAACCTGGTCTTGGCCTCAGGACCCTTTTATACTCTTTTTTTTTTTTTGGAGTTGGAGTTGGAGTCTCACTCCATCGCCCAGGCTAGAGTGCAGTGGCACGCTCATGGCCACCCTACCATCAACCTGCTGGGCTTAGGCAATCCTCTCACCTTGGCCTCCCAAAGTGCTGGGATTACAGGCTTGAGCCACCACACCTGGCCCCTATTATACTCTTAAAAGTCACTGAAGGCTGGGCTCAGTGGCTCAGCCTGTAATCCCAGCACTTTGGGAGGCCAAGGTGAGAGGATTGCCTAAGCCCAGCAGGTTGATGGTAGGGTGGCCTTGAGTGTGCCACTGCACTCCAGCCTGGGCAACAGAGTGAGACTCAAAATAAATAAATGAATACCCCAAAGAACACAAAACCTGTCCATGAAGTCAGTCAGTGAAGAAAAGAATGAGCTGCAAAGAAAAGCCTGACCTTGAATTTCTGCCAAAAAAAAAAGCTATTCATGCTATGGCTTTAAAGTCCTACATTAAGGAATTACTCAGAGAATGTTATTGGCCCCAGCCCTGTAGACACAGCATATTCTGTTGTCTGATGGCAGATGAGAGAAGACAGCTCTGGAGAAGGAAAGACTGTATTGAGTTCTGAGGTAGGGTACTAGTCTTCTAATTAGTTCTCTGCCACTAACTAGCTCTATTAGTTTGGCAGAATCATTCAGCTCTGAGTTAAAATTCTCTGCTCATAAATTACAAAGGGTAAGTTAAACCATCTTCCAGGGTTTTTTTCCTACTGTGAACCCAACTCAAAAAAAAAAAAAAAAAAAGTTACTGGAGACTCTGAAGGGCTTTTCTTTATGTGGGTTATATCTACTTTATTAGGATTGCAACTGATAAATGCTTTATTTTCTTATTAGTTCTTTTAAAATAACAGGAATAAACCCATTTAATGTTAAAGAGGTTTTTGGGGGTTTTTTTGAGTCAGACTCTCATTCTATTGCCCAGACTGGCATGCAGTGGCACAGTCACAGCTCACTGCAAGCTCAACCTCCTAGGCCCAGATGATCCTCCTGCCTCAGCCTCCATAGTAGCTGGAACTACAAATGCACACCACAATGCCCAGCTAATTTTTAAAATTTTTGTAGAGACGGATTCTCGCTGTATTGCCCAGACTGCTCTCGATCTCCTGGGCTCAAGCAGCCCTCCTGCCTCAGCCCCTCAAAGTGCTAGGATTACAGGCATGAGCTACCACCTGACTCAAAAGTATATTTTGGTAGAAAGTTACCATGTTTCCAAAAATTTTATATGAGAGAAATGACACTTTTACATTTTCTCAGGTTTCTTAGTGTCTGAATGAATGGGAGACAGCTAGATTCTCAAATCTGTCTCTGCATTTATTCTCTTGTGACATCACAAGTCATATGGCTTCTGGAAAACTCCTCTGTACACTCGCGAGAGAGTCCTAGTGAAAAAGAGAAACAAGCCAGGCTCGGTGGCTCAGCCTGTAATCCCACGCCTTTGGGAGGCTGAGGTGAGTGGATTGCCTGAGCCCGCGGGTTCGAGACCCACCTCAGCAACTTGGCGAGACCTCATCTCTACAATAAATCAAAAATTAGCTGGGTGTGGTAGCGCGTGCCTGTAGTTCCAGTTACTTGGAAGGCTGAGGTGGAAGGATCGCCGGAGCCCAGCAGGTCGAGGCTGCGGTGGCCGGGAGCGGCCACTGCACTTCAGTCTGGGCGACAGAGTGAGACTCTAACTCAAAAAAAAAAAAAAGACAAACAATATCTTGCTATTATGATGAAAATAGTTTTTAACCCACAAGGGCATTGGAAACCTCCAAACCACACTTAGTGAGTTACTACCCCAAAATAGCAAGCTGTCAAGTTTTGCATGCAGCTTCATTTGATCCCAAGCTTTTTTCCCCCTCGAAGCAGGATCATGTTTATTGTTCTTCATTCCTTCTTGCATCCCCATCCTTCCATTTGTGAAAGGAAAATAAAATTTCAGGACCTTCCAAATGTATTATTCCAAGGGGAAAAGTTAAGCCCTGGAAACTGAGTCATGCGGCAGGGCTGTTTTCTTCTCTGAAGCATGACCATTATTTCCTGACCTTTGTGTTATGCATTAACTAGACCCCTTGTTCTTAATTCAAACCAAGACTAAATGATGTGTGAGATAGAGACCCTTGTGATTGTTAACGCTTTACAACATGTTAAGCTGCCCCTTTAAAGTGTAATCAAATAGTAGCTGATCAAATCTTATGTAAGCCTTTGAATGGAAAATGTCATGAATCCGTTCAGCACCTCCAGTTTTTTCTATATACATGATCCTTGCTTTTCCCCATAGTGAGAGCACTGATCACTGTTCATTGATGTCTCCGTGTCCCTGGACAGTCGCCCTCATACTTTTCGCTTGAATAAGCTCTTTTTAACTGGTTCTTGAGCCTTTTAATTATTTTAGGTTGACACGTTTGAGCTCATTATCCTTCTGCCTGAGTAATGAATTAATATTTCTTTTACTGTGGATCTGCTGGTGATTAGTCCTTCAGTCTTTCTTTGCTAAAAACTGTCTATATCACCTTCTTTACTGAATGCCATTTCCCCTATATAGAGAATTCTTGATTGGCAGTTATTTTCTTTGAGATTTTTTTTCTTTGCCTTTAGATAGCTATGGTTTTATTGTGAGATTTCACAGTTTTTTATTTATTTTCATTTATCTGCCTCTCTGGTCTCTGTAAGACTTTTTTAATCTTTGGCATCATTTTTTTTCATCACTTTTGGAAAATTCTCAGTCAGCCATTATCTCTTCAAATATTTCTGCCTCGCCTCTCTTTCATTTCCTTTAAGACTCTAATTACATGAGTTTCAAGTCAAGGCTAAGTGAAAAAATAATAATAGTAATAAAGAATACTCCAATCAGCCGGGCATGGTAGCGCATGCCTGTAATTCCGGCTACTCGGAAGGCTGAGGCAGAAGGATCGCCGGAGCCCGGCAGGCGAGGCTGCGG